TTCTACAGTAAATCAATTCTCATTTTCAACCACACATTCTTCGATAAAATAATATTTTCCATCACATCAATAATTTTTTCTTCTTTTTCAACCACACATTTCCCATCATATCACTATTCAAAATCAATTCTTACCCAAAGCTATAGTACTAGCAACTTTAGTCCGAAAATTCATTCCACCATACTTCTCGGAGAAACACCCCGCTGCGCTGGAATCGAATTTTCTCCGGGCCTCCGATCCATTCCCGATTTCGCGAAGTCCAACAGAATTCTGGGACCAACCAACTTCCCTCTTTAGTTATCACTCTAATTCTCCATTCCCTTTTCCCGCTCCTCGTTTTCTTCCATTATTTTGGTTTTTCCTTTTCTAGGTGAATCGGAAAACCAACCTGTTCAGAAATGATGAGGAAGAGCTCCAACTCGATGCGGCAGTTGTGGTGGGTGGCTCCGTGCGTCGCGCTCCTCCTCCTCACCCCAGCCGCCGCTGCCGCAGTAGTTGGAGAGGTCATTAACCTCCCCCAAGGTGGAACGTACGGCTACTCCAAACTCTACGACATCACCAACAAAATTGTAGTTGGCATGACAATTTGGGACAATGAAAACGGCATGCCAGAAGAGAAGTTGCGATTCATAGACACCAATGGCGAATTGGTGTACAAATTCTCCACTCACATGGGGACCCACTCCGATGCCCCCGATCATGTATTTACCAACATGTCGAGCTACGATGCCAACTCCCTGAAACTCGAAACTCTTAACGGTAGCCTTCCGCCACTGGAGATTTTGACAAATTCATGAAAGTTAAAGATCAAACAGACCTAATTACTGACATTGTTAATGTTGATGATACTTTTATGTTTATAAATAGGTTTGGCGTTGGTGATGGATGCTCCCAGGAACACGAACTTAACTGGTATGCTGGCAACAGATTTCGTCGTGGATTATCTCTGAGGAATTTGTTATCCATTCATGATTCTTGCTTTTTTCAGCTGAAGTTCTGGAGTCCATGAACATCCCTAAAGGAGTCAATCGCTTGCTTTTCAGGACCGAGAACACTCACAGGTAGCATTTGAATGATCTAAGTTCTGTGTATAACTATGTATTGCGTCTATATGGAATGCAATCTTTCATGACATTTGGTAGGAGTTATGTCTTAGGCTGATCAAATCGCTTTGTGTATCCAATGACTTCTATAGAATGAATGAATTAGGTGTTTGCCTGTTCATTTCGTCCTGTTTGACAAGTCTGGTTCTCGGATTCAATAATTTGATCAAATGTCAATTTAGACGAACCATTTCTGTCATGAAAACAGATATATCACGATGGATATACTAGACAGGAGAACTTATTTTTGTGCTAGTTTTACTCATCAATTACTTATCTGCTATCTTTAGGAGAAAAAGAGAACACACGTGTATGTTTAATGTAACACATGCATTTTTTCACTGTAACTTGATTCACTAAGAGGTAAAGGAACGTGCATGAAATGAATGAAGTCGATGGCAGGTTATGTGTGCGACTTTTATATTTCTTTTCTTGTTTCAACATGAATCCTTATTTGAATTACCAGAAGACTCTTCTCAGTATACATAAGGTTTACTCTTTCAGAGGACAATTCCTGTGACTTAAGTTGACTTCATTTCAGGCATCTGATGCATCAAAAAGCTTTTGCCAAGGACTATGCTGGACTCAAAACAGATGGGGCACAATGGTTGGTGGATAATACTGATATCAAACTTATTGGTAAGACAGATACGATCTTCTCTACTTCTGTATTGGGTGCCTAGGCACGAGTTTGGAAGCATAGGGAACACGTCACTAATTATGAATCATTTATACTGCATGGATCACCCTTCTCAACCATAAAAAAAGGAGAGAAGAAAAGGTAGTGGTTGTTATTGATGTATGTGTTTGGTCGTAATTGTAGGAATGGATTATCTGTCTGTTTCTGTAGAGGCAGACGCAAAGCAAGTTCATCAGGTTTTGCTGAAAACAGGGGTAAGATCTTTATCTTGATGAATATTTTCATTCTATGGATAATTCCCATATCTTTGCTCCTGCCCCTCTTGAAAAAAGTGAAAAACAAGCACGACGCTAAATTGATGCTGCAAGAATTTTAACCTTTTCGGATTCAATCAATCAAACCACTCTCACTGCTCTGCTGGCCTGTGTAGTTCAAATTTATGAATTTTCTCACATCATGAAATCGTTGTAGATTGGTGTAGTTCCTATGTTTGGCACATGTTTATAAACTGTTTATAAGCACTTGACCCTTTGGCACGTGCCTTTGACATCCATTGCCATCTTCACTATGAATAAATTCGAAAAAAAAAAACATATGATTCTTTCTGGAATGTTTAAAATGTATAAACTACTGTTGTTTCTCTTCGTCGTCATCATATCAATTTTCACCTTTCTTATATTGGCAGACTCACGTCCTGTCTTCCTTTTACTGCTGCTTTACATTTTAATTTTGAATAAATTGTTCTAGGTTATAATTCCGGTGGAGGGCTTGATACTTGATGATGTTGGTCCAGGAGAATACATGCTTCATTGCTTGCCTTTAAGGATCCCCGGGGCCGACGGATCACCCTCGAGATGCATCCTTATGCAGTGATCACTCTATATGTTAATGCATAAATGCGTTCTGTAAGTTTGCGCTGGTATATAATCAATTGGCAATAGTACGTTGGACCTGCGTTTCATTACTTCTTTTATGTACATGAACATTAATAATCATGAATAGGATCCAGGATGCCAAGTCGGAAAAGCTTAAACGGCAACAGAACTCGGCTTCTTCTTCTTCTTTAATATTATCGTACATTTCACTTTACCTAACAATTTGTGAACTTTTTATGGCAGAAATGGAGTGTTCAAGAATGTGATAAAAATGGCAATGATGCTACCCTAATGGTGTAGTGCTACTGAATGAAGAAACGGTTACAAATGTCAATTTGTAAGTCTGGTTATGGTCAACGAGATTGAAATTTGAATATAAAAAAATATTATTCCTTTCATCAAACATGTGCTCTGTCAACCTTTATGGCAAAAATGAAGTCGCTCATGAATAATGCAATAAAAATAGTCTACATATCAAGTAAAAATGACAATAATGATATCCTAATGGTTTTGTGCTATGGCTACAAATATCAATTTGTTTCGTGAATGTTTGACACCCGTTTTTTTGGATAGTAGAATTTTTGGAATAGTAATTGATGGGGGAATGTGTAGTTGAAATGAAAAAAGAAAAAAAAAATGAGAATGTGAATGAAATGAGAGTGGATGCCAAACAGGGACTAAAAATATTATTCATCTAATCAAACGTGTGCTCAATCTACTTTTATGGAAGAAATGAAGGCGTTCATAAATATTGTAATAACATAGCATTCATATATCAAGTAAAAATGATAATAATGTTATCCTAATGGAGTAGTGATACGGAATGTATAAACAGCTACAAATGTCAATTTCTTCCATGAATATTTTATATTTGTAACTCTTGCTATGGTTTACGAGTTTGAATATTTGAATAAAAATATTATTCCTCTAATAAAACACGTGCTCTGTCAACCTTTATGGCAGAAAAGAAGAATAAAAATAGCCTTCATATCTATATCAAGTAAAAATGACAATAATGCTATCCTAATGGTGTAGTGCTACGAATGAATAAACAACTACAAATGTCTATTTGTTCCACGGATATTTTGTATTTGTAATTTTTGATATGATTAACGGGTTTGAAGATTTTAATAAGAATATTATCCAATTCATAAAATGTGTGCTCCATCAACCTTTATGGCAGAAATGAAATCGTTCATGAACAATGTAATAAATATAGCCTTCATATCAAGTAAAAATGGCAATAATGCTATCCTAATAGCGTAGTGCTACCATATTGTTGTGCCAAGAATTGAACAGACACCTACAAATGTCAAATTAAACTTGAATCAAGTCTAAATATCTGCAAATTAGTTGTATGTTACAAACTTTTGGTGGAGTTCTATCCAAATAAATTAATTAAAAAAAAAAAATCAAGGTTCAATTTTTACACTTTTTTTCACGAAAATACGAAAAAAGTTATTATCTTGTCAGGTCTTTTTCACTTAACAACGTCAAAACATACTCCAAATTATAATCTCAATTCAAATTTCAATTAAGTAGATCCAACTTTTCCTCACGGACCATCTGACTCCAAGAAAAGAATGGTAATAGGTAAATTTCATTTGTGGTCACTAATTTTTTTGTGAAATATTAATCATTGCGTGTCACCCTAAAAATGAAAATGATAAAATGAGGATTATGACAATGTTTTTACATTAAAAGGACAAGATGCATGTACACTTTTACAACATTGCATAGTTGTAAGTTATCATGATACACAATGATTACGAGAAAATTTCATTGTTGTATGGATGTCGATTAAGAGATTTTCATCAATTTGGAAGACATGTTGGCATGGGAAATTGAAACTAATTTAAGTTTTAGTGACTCATTTGAGACTAAATTAAAGTCGAGTGACAAAATTGAAACAAATTAAAGTTTGATAACCTAATTCATCAATTTGACAACTTGCAAGGACATGACGCACTCTGTTTCACCATTTTCTGTCTTCTAAACACAAAACGATCATAAAATTTCTTAAAAATATTATTTAATTTTATATATTTAGTCTATGTTTGACTTCTATTTTTTAAAACTTATTTTTTCATCAAAATAATTTTTACTACACATTTTATGGGATCTCCATATATTCAACAATGCATTTTATCAACTTTTATCAAAATTTAATTTTAGGTACACTTAGTTCCTGTTTGACAATTATTATCTGATAAAAAATAGAGTTCTGAATAATGATTATTAGAAAAATATGTGATTAAAAAGTAGAAAAAAGTTTTAAGTTTACATATATAATTTTTTATTGTGAGAATATATTGTTAAAAATGAGTATATAAAAAAAAGAGTTGAAAATAATAGGGGCTCAATTGAATAAAATCACCACGCAAGTAAAATATTGATGTCTAGCAAATTAATCTCCATCAATAATTTATTTATATAGCATTAAACATTTACATAAGTGAAATATTAATTAGCAAGATGATCGGATTAATAGTAGAAAATTCCCTAGAAACATTTCTATTTGATATATACCCCATGTCTATTGAAAATCGTAGAAAACTTCCCTGTTTGAAACCTTTTGTGCGAAAAAACTCCACGTCGTTGAGATTCATCAGTTTTTCCGTTAAAAACAGTAAAAAATGCCAAAATTAAATTTCAGTAACCAATTTTTTTTACAAATCGTGCCCAATTTTTTTTGTATGTACAACATACAATCCCAAACCTTTAAAATCTCACCGTATCACAGTCCACTTCATCTTCTTCTCCACCTTCAACCATACCCAATTAAACCAAAATCAAAACCCAGAAAATCCAATTAAATTTAGAATTATGGGATACTCCTCAAACATCAATGGCGAAAGACATAAACATACACTTCTAAGTTGGTTAGAAATTAAAGCATGCTAGAGCAACACCGCCTAGAGTCACGTAGAACTTCTAAATTTGTGAATTATTAAGTCTCGGACTATTATTGCAATCAAGTTTTTTGTGAGCACCATTTTTTATTGCTAAGTTTCCGTTTTACATTAGACATTCAGTACACAAATTGCATTATAGATTTAACATTTCAAATGTTGCAAGGTTACAAGAAAATAAAACTCATTTCACACTCGAGTTTCAGTCAAACTATATCTAAATTTCACACATACACACACAAAAAAAAAAGTCAAAATTCAAGGCACTAGGTGCAGAATATAAAGTTGTTCAATTATTGGACGCCGTTTTAGTTGCCTGTGGATTTTGATCTCCAAAACTAAAGTGCTAAATTTACCATCCAGTAATCCATGAGGCAAAGGGTTTTAAACCTGGATTTTGATTTTGGTTTAATTTACCACCGCCAACTCTCCGACCCCAGGAAAATGAGGATGAACTCTTGCTCCACCTTCGCCGCCTCGATGTGGCTTATATTTCTTGCGTTCTCCGATGTTTTAGTTAACGCCAAATACCTCGACATCTCTCACGAGTATGTACCAGGCTTGCCCAAATATGATTCGCCTACTGGTCTGGGAACTTTCATGAAGGATAGCACTAGTATTCTTAAAGGGGAAGATTTTAACACCCGCAACTTCAATTTGAGCACGGATTGCGGGACTCACGTCAAAGCCTTNTCACTAACATAGCTCCGGTATTATCATTGCTGCCAATGAAAAATGGGCTGTTTGATTGAGTGGGATCATGAATAATGATGTTTGGATTTTGATTTTGGATTTGAGTTTGATTTGGCTGATTTTGGATTTGAGTTTGATTTGTGCTTGGGTCAGCAGCACTCGTATCTTGTTTTTCTGGCTCTGATACCTTATTAACAAATGCACAAAATTGAATGAGCTACTAATTTGCTGAATGAAGAGAAAAAATCTTTTTATTGATAAAGATCGTGATTTATACAAATTACATCAATCCTATATATAGACTGAAATTTCTATAAAACAGAAAAGAGAGAGACTAAGTGCTACACAAAACATTTACATGTGCCAAGAAAAACAGAATTCAGTTATGCTAATGGGAGGGGAGCTGACCCACGAGTTCTTCTAGAATGCTCTTCTGCTTGTGACTCCTGTGACTTGGTGCTGGTGACTTCTGCTTGTGACTCCTGTGACTTGGTGCTGGTGGCTCCTGTGACTTGGTGCTGAGTATGCTACTGACTAATGTTTTCTTCCAGCTCATCATCCAGCTCAGTAATCCTATTTTCCAATAGCCCCCCGCAAGATGGAGAGTATATGTCCATTACTCCCATCTTGGACATACATGAGTAGAAACTTTGAGAGCTCAAAGCTTTGGTGAGGATGTCAGCCGTTTGTGATCTGCTGGGTATATGTTTGGTGATAATGCTTCCTTCCTGAATCTTATCTCGTATCAAATGACAGTCAAGTTCTATATGCTTAGTTCTTTCGTGGAAAACTGGGTTCGTGGCTATATGTACAGCAGACTTGTTATCACAGTACAAGAAAGAAGCCTGGGGATGTGCCCCATGCAAGTCTTTAAGTAGGTACTGAAGCCATGTGAATTCACAACACAGATTTGCCATTGCCCTATACTCAGCCTCTGAAGAAGATCTTGAAACAACCTGTTGTTTCTTGGATTTCCAAGACACTAGTGATTCACCAAGTAAAACACAATACCCTGTCACTGATCGTCTGGTGTCAGGGCAAGCTCCCCAATCAGAGTCACAATATCCATGCAATTGCAGCCTTGAATTTGCTGGATAGAATAGTCCTTGGCCTGGGGCTCTTTTGATATACCTGAGGACCTTGTGTGCCGTGTGTAAATGTGGTACTCTAGGACTATCCATGAATTGGCTCAATAACTGAACCGAGAATGAAATATCAGGCCTGGTTATGGTTAGATATAACAAGCGTCCAACCAGTCTTCTGTAAAGTGTAGGATCAGGTAATAATTCTCCATCTTGCTTGGATAATTTCACATTTTGATCCAGGGGAATTCTAGCAGGTGCTGAACCAATGGTCCCTGTGTCTTCCAAAACATCTAAAGCGTATTTTCTCTGGCACAAATGGATGCCCTGTGCACTTCTTGCCACTTCGATTCCAAGAAAGTATTTTAACTTTCCAAGATCCTTGATTTTGAACTTATCATGTAGGGAGGATTTGAGTTTATTGACTGATCCAGTGCAGTTACTAGCCACAATTATGTCGTCAACATATACCAAAATGGCTGTAAAAGAATTACCAGTGTTCTTGGTGAATAAGCTGTAATCTGCCTTGGACTGAGTATATCCTTGCTCAATGATGAAATTAGAAAGTTTGGAGTACCATTGCCGTGATGCTTGTTTTAATCCATATAAGCTTTTCTTGAGTCGACAAACCTTTTTTTCATCACAATTTGAATACCCCGGGGGTAGTTCCATATACACTTCTTCCTCTAAATCACCGTGCAAGAAGGCGTTGTTGACATCAAATTGGAAAAGGTTCCATCCTTTTATGGATGCTACGGCTAACAGAGTTTTAATCGTGACAAGCTTAGCCACAGGTGAGAAAGTCTCATGGTAATCAAAACCTTCCTGCTGGGTATACCCCTTTGCAACTAATCTTGCTTTAAATCTCTCTACACTTCCATCAGCATTGAACTTGACTTTGTATACCCATTTGCAACCTATAGCTCTCTTATCAGGAGGTAGGTCAACTAGAATCCAAGTGTCATTAAGTTCAAGGGCCTTAAACTCTGATTTCATGGCTGCATACCACTCAGGTGAAGTTTTGGCTTCGTGATAGTTTCTTGGTTCTATTTGTGTAGTGACAGATGATACAAAAGCCTTTTGTGATATTGACAAGTTTTTATATGAAATGCTAGCACTAAGTGGAAAATGCTTACCTTGGAGATTTGGTTCCTTCAGTCCGTCTAACTTTTGAGATGGCTGAAGGTAAGTAGCCTGCTCACATATGAAGTCCTGAAGGTGGCTTGGTAATCTTCGTGCTCTCTCTGATCTGCGGGGATAATGAGTAATAGGACTGCTAATTGATATTGGATTGGAAGTATTGGGACTTTGGGAATCATCAGTGGACTCAAGTTGAGACTGACTATGATCAGAGTTTTGTAGATCACTTTCCAGATGATGTGAGTCCTGAAGTTCTGTTTGTGGTGGGACACAGGTGTCATTTGGAACAGGTATAGAGGTAACTTCTTCAGTGAGCGAGATGGGATTTTGAGTATAAATGTCATAGGTTTGAACTGGAGATGGTTGATTATTGCTGACAGTTTCTTTGAAGGGGAATACATTCTCATAGAAGACCACATTCCTGGAGATGAATATTTTTTTGGTTTCAAGATCTAGCAGGGTATATCCCTTGACCCCAAAAGGATATCCTATGAACACACATTTCTTAGCTCTAGGATCAAATTTATGTCTGCCATTGACGATGGTTGCTGCAAATGCAAGGCAGCCAAAAACTTTCAGCTGCTGGTAGTCAGGTTTTTTGTTAAAAAGGACTTGATAAGGGCTTTGATCGTTTAGTATGGAAGATGGGGTCCTATTTATGAGATACACAGCAGTCAAGATGCAATGGTTCCAATATTTTAGATGAATTCCACTTTGGAATTTCAAAGCTCTAGCTGTGTTTAAGATGTGCTGGTGTTTTCTCTCAACCACCGCATTTTGTTGTGGTGTCTCTACACAAGTTTTGTGGTGTATGATACCCTTTTTGAGATAGAAGTCCTTCATGTTGAATTCCCCCCCATTATCAGTTCGAATAATTTTAATCTTGGTTTCAAATTGCGTCTCTACCATAGCACAAAAGTTTTGAAGGGAAGATGTAGCATCAGATTTCATCCTTAACATGTATGCCCAAGTACAACGGCTAAAATCATCCACAATTGTTAAAAAATACCTAGAGCCATCAGTACCAAACTCATTGCAGGGTCCCCAAATATCGCAATGCAATAATTCAAAACACTTTTCAGTCTTATGAGTGCTAGTAGGAAAGGGTAATCTGTGTAATTTTGCAATAGGACATATAGAGCAAGTGATATCATTTGAAGGTTTGGAGAAATGAAAGTCACCATTATCATTGGAAATAGAATAAGAAGAGTGGCCTAATCTATAGTGCCATACATCAAAGATACGAGCACCATTGGTGACTGAAGCAGAAATAGAGTTAGGTGATGTGATATTTAATTTTGCCAGATGATCAGATAAGGCTGAATGAGGAACTTCTCCAGACTTCATGTGGTACAGGCCTTCCTTAACTTCACCCATGCCAATCGTTTTCCAAACTGAAAGGTCCTGAATAAAACAACAACGAGAGAAGAAGATTAGACAGCAGTTAAATAATTGAGCTAACCTCTTGGCAGAGATCAGATTAAAAGAGAAACTGGGCACACAGAGTACATTTTGAAGACTTAATGTGGTGCTGAGATTTACGGTTCCTATATGAGTGACAGGAACTTTGTTGCCATTTGGTAAAGCTACTGAGTGATTAACTTGTGACTGAATAGAAGAGTACAAGGAGGCTGAACAGATCATATGATCTGTGGCCCCTGTGTCTAGGATCCAAGGAGTGTTTAAAATCCTAGGCAATTTTGATTTTGAACCAGTTACACACAAGGATATACCAGAGATTTGATGTGCAGTTTCATCAGATGATGATGGGGTGATAACAGGTTTGAGGAGTGCCATGAGCTGAGCATATTGTTCCTGACTCAATGACACTTGAGATTTCTCATTTACTACTTCCTGTGCAGAGGCCAAGGATGCCATGGGCTGGTTTACTGATGGTCTAACTTTCCCTTCGAATTTGTGTCCTGATGGATGACCTGATGGATATCCATTTAGCTTAAAACACTTATCTGAAGTATGACCTGGGATTGTGCAGTAGGTGCAGACTGGTCTCCCTGGGTTGGCCTTAAAACATCTATCATTTGAATGCCCTGGGATCTTACAGAAAGTGCAATTCTTACTTTCCCTTCGAATTTGTGGCCTGATGGATGACCTGATGGATATCCATTTAGCGTAAAACACTTTTCTGAAGTATGACCTGGGATTTTGCTGTAGGTGCAGACTGGTCTCCCTGGGTTGGCCTTAAAACATCTATCATTTGAATGCCCTGGGATCTTACAGAAAGTGCAATAGTAACGATCCCTCTTCTGTGTTACATTGCTATGCCTTCCTTCTTCTTTGAAAGTTCCTTTGGTAAAAAGTGCCATGGATTCAGAGGTGGATCCCTCAGTCGATATTTCCCTTCTTTTCTCCTCCTGTTGTATAATCGAGTAGACTTCATTCAGGCTGGGAAAAGGCTTTATCAGCAGGATTTGGGCCTTAATCATCTTATATGAATCATTCAAGCCCATTAGAAACTTCATCACCCAATCCCTCTGTTGGTTTTCCACTACCAGTTTCAGTCCTCCACAACTACAGTTTGGAACCATTTCATAATTCATCAGTTCATCCAAGAGAACTTTGAGTTTGGAGAAATAAACGTTCACTGGATCTTGGTTCTGCAGTAGTGTGGTTATTGATTGTTTAACTTCGAAAATTCTAGGAGCATTTTGTTGGGCAAAACGCTGTTCAAGCTCGATCCAAAGCTGGTGTGCTGTCTCGGCATAGGTGGTGCTGCACTTGATATCAACAGCCATGGCATTCTGCATCCAGGTGATTACAATGTCGTTGCAACGCAGCCAATGTTCCATGAGTGGATCATTGGGGTCCTCTGGTTCGCATATGCTGCCATCCACGACCCCTAATTTATTCTTGATCCGTAGTGCCCTTCTCATAGCTCGCGCCCATGAATAATAATTGCTTGCATCCAGTATATGAGTCCCTAACATAGCTCCGGTAATTATTGCGGGACTCACGTCAAAGCCTTCACTGATGTTGAATCCCTAGACCTCACCGTTCTCAATGGTAATGATTTCAGTAAATCATGGAATTTTTAATAATTGTCGTCTAGTTGAAGATAAAAGGAATTTGCATAATTCATGAATTTATGTGCTTATTCATGAAGTTTTTACGTGCAACAGGTCCAGCGTTGGTGGTTGAAGTTCCGAAGGACAAGAACATAACTGGTACGCTTTTCACTTGTTCTTCTTTTCCTTATTTAAAAAGGTTTAAATGCGAAATTCAGAACTTCTAAGTATAATTGAACAACAAAATATAATAATTGAATGTGTTGACGTCAGGATCTGTCCGATTGAGTGGAACACACTGTTAGGTGCAAAGATCACCGGCCAAGAAAAAGTCCGGTCACCGTTTGCACACTGACAGTTAAGTAATTGGCCTAAGAAGATATTGCTTGACTTGATCGGCCCAATCCAATTGACATCATCAATGCCCAGTCAATTAATGTGGGACCACACAAGTTTCAATTAGTAAGTAAATTGTAATTTAAAAATCAAAATTAACAATTGTGTAGATCATTACAACCATGACGGGATGTGAGAAAAAGATTGAAAGTATGTAAATGAGAGTACATACTTTTAACTTTTAACACTGTATTGAATTGAATCAGCAATTAGTTATGCAATAAAAATCATCATCTGTAAAATGACTTGTGTGGGTATGGGAGCTTGTTCTCAAAAATAATTCGTTCCTTGCTACGCACAGAGTATTCATCCCGGTGACTGGGATTGTGACACGTGCCATGATGATCGCACCATATCTAGGTTTACGGAATTGAGCTTGGCCATATCTCAACCTTAATAAACAGTTGACTCTTCTTAAGCCTAAATATACTCCTTTACCTCTTAGAATGTTTGAGTTGGAAATGTGGTCATATTTTAATTTAATTGTGCTCCATTTTAAGCCGCCATTTGGAAATTTATAAATCAATTTATAAAGAGTAATAGTAATGGGTTCTATGAAATGTGTGGATGATAAATGAGTAATAATTATGAATGTGTGGTTGAAAGTAATTTTTGACTTTAACTGAATTTATAAATTGATTTATATATTGGTCTCCAAACGGAGTCTAAGTATGTTAATTCACATAATAATTTCATTGATCTTCATTCTATTTTTGTCTTTGATCATTAATCTGAAAATTTGGTGAGAAACGGCTTGAAAGTGTGACTTTCACTGATTGCTGTATCATTTGTTTTTGGAATCGAACAATTTTTCGTTTCTTATAGCACTTAAAAATGCTTCCTTGCTTCTTTTAGCTGAAGTTATGCAGAGCTTAAACATTCCCAAAGGAATAAAGCGTGTACTTTTCAAGACACTGAATACCCAAAGGTAAAATTTACACCAAAAGGTTTATACTTGAGTGTTGTTCTTTTCATTTTTGTCCTCCTATCATTTTGATAATAATAAGTTTGATATGTTTTACCTAGAAGGTCTACCAAGATTGGTCAATCTTCGGTGTTTAAATTACATATGAGCAGCAAATAAACACAAAATGAGTTCAAAATCTTTTCTTACGCGAGTTTTCATGAACTATTCTAGTCTGGTTCGTTTGCCGTTGATGTATTAGTTTAAGTGGAAAATATTTTAGCAGGGTTGGATTTGTTTGGTACAGTATGAGCTTGTAGCTTGCTTTGATTTGTTTCTTTTTCATTCTCATGTTGCATCTGGCAAGTAAATAATTGTCGATCTTTGTATTTTACATATTACATAAACTCTTAAATGTGCTATTCATCTTATGTTCTATTTGCAAATTCATATATTTTTCCATTTTCAGTCACTACACAACCTGTTTAAGAAATTGTTGCAAGGCCATGGCTCTTTTTGACCTCTTGAGCTTATTTGCTGTGCCACTTGAGAGGGATCACCAGATGTCATGCAGAGTGGGATTCACAAATATAATTTTCGAACTTGATTAAACTTTTGTATTATCTCTACGTTTTCTCTGTGATCTGCAAATTGTCATATTACTGTAGTTAAAGTACTGAAACATCTGCTTGGGCATAATTCCATTTGTAATACGAGGACATCCTAGTCGAACTAAAGTTATTGCATTTTCAGGAAACTTATGTATAAAAAGGAGTTCGACTCAAGCTACACTGGTTTCCAGAAAGATGGGGCAGAGTGGTTGGTGGAGAACACCGACATCAAACTTATTGGTAATGGACTGTTGGGTCGTTGAATAAAATAAGTTATTAATGCTTGCGTTGAAATAAAGATATGTACATGTGAGTAGATAAAAGGAAGAAAGAAATCTCCTGAATAATTCGGTCTTTTTATTTTTGAATTTCACCCTTCCCCCCAAATAAGACTCGAACTCAGGTCACTAAGCTGGTAAGGCTTCACTCTTACCACTTGAGCTAGACCTTGAAATTCTGTCTTCTTATGGTATGTTAATCTTTATGCATATAATTTTTCAACCCTTTGTTTTCTTAGGCGAGAAAATTTAATTTTTGTTTTTGTTTGCTAAATTTCTTTGGTTTTTTTATATTTCAAAGAAGTGGTTGCACTGAAGCGTGTTTTTTCATTGTTTGTTGTAGGACTTGATTACTTATCTGTTGCTGTAAAACCAGATAAGGATTATGTGTATCAGGTGTTGGGCAAGGTAATATTTCCCTGCATTCAGAAGTCATGCACCTTCCAGGAATAAAAAGAACATATTTTTTTGGCAGTTTGGCTTTAATTGAATTAATGGAAATCATATTTTTCTGTTTAATTGGTGGGATTGGTAGCCGAGATTTATGTTTCAAAAGTTACGATTTAGATTCATCTTCTCTGCTTCACGACAGTCAATTCGCTTCAGATCCTACTTTTTGGACAGGGGACCAGAAATCAAATTATAATTTAGTTTCAAATCTACATTTTAATATGTTTTTATCGTTATTCTTCACATAACAATTTACTGCCTACTGTTTTACGTGAGAAACTGCAAGCCGTGTTCTGTTATTTCGTTTTACTAACTCAGTCGAGTTATGTTTTAGGATGTAATTCCCGTGGAAGGTTTGAATCTCGATAAAGCTAGACCTGGAGAATATTTCCTCTATTGTTTACCTTTAAGGATGTCTGAGGCTAACGCAGCTCCAACGAGATGCATACTTGTCCGGTGATCTCCTTGTAAGTGAAATTTTCTCTGAGAAACATATCCTTGTTAAGCTGCATGTATGGATAAGCTTAGAAAGTTTTACCTTTAAGCAACAAAGGTAAAAACAAAATTTACTTCTTTTTAAGCTTAGCTGGCTATACATGCTCGCCGCTTGTAATTCTCGGCTAACCCAATTTCTAAATCATGGTTAATTGTAGGGACAGGATTGGTTACTATGAAATTTTTAGATCCAGGATCTTCTTTCTGTAATATAACAAACACAACCTATACAAGCCTTCTTTCTATCAGTTTAAGTTGATTTGGTTGTAAATTGTAATCAGAACAAATATATATATGATCCTCCTTCGACTATATATAACCGTCACTATTTTCTATCTTGTCATTGTAAATTATGTTGATTGCATGTTTGGTGTGTAGACGACATTAAAGAGAAATAATAAGAAAAAAAAAATTAACATTTTTATCGAGTGATGCTTACCATAGTTGTTAAACCCGACCGGTCCAATCAGAAACCCAGGGAACCGGACCATGGTCCATTCTGAGTCCTATGAGAGGACAGTTCAGCTTTCAAACCAGTCTAAGACCGGATAAACCTTCAGGTTTAATAGTGAATCGGTAAGCCAGTTCTAATTAACTCACTGGTTTCCTATAAATGTCAGGAATTGATCCCCTAACCTTTTGGAAATCAATACTTATTAGATAACAAGGCTACAACTATTATTTGTGTTAATACTTTGATGCTATGACATACGGAGAGAGTCTCTACAGAAAAAACACATACAAAGCATACAGAATACACACAAATAGATGATGCCTCTTTTTTGACAATATTTAATTCACATGGGGCCCACTCTCATGTGATTATTGGTATGAATTTTTCTGTACAAGCAAAAAAATTCTGATATATGACACTTATTTTCAAGAATTTCAAATATTACCATTTAAACTTTAACTTCTATTATAATATCTTAAAAATAGTTTATAATATCAATTGTTGTACTTAAAAAGGATGTTCATTATTTTTGTGAAATAGTTACAATAAACTATTCAAGACTTCTTTATTATTTTAAAAATATATATATATATATATATATTCATCATTCACAGAAGTATAATTAACCATTGTTTAAAATTTTTATGAATAAGCATTGACCCACCGGTCAATGACTTAGTCAGGTCGAGTCGGATCGGGTCGGGTCGGGTCGGGTCGGGTTTGATAACTATGATGCTTACCGTTTTGGGTTTCTTTGTGCACCGAGTGAAGGATATATAAATCCATTTTCATGGTTGTAAAGGTTGCTTTTGCTGCTTGATGGCTGGAATCCTGATGACCAGTACAACAAGAAAAGTCCCATTTCTTTCACTACTTCTTGTAGGAATTAATTGCAGATTAAATTGGTTTTTCGATTAAAATCACTCCATTATTTAAACTGATTTCTGTCTATGTAGACACATTCATGATGGCTGAAAAGCAAAAAAAAAAAAAAAAAGTTTCGTGAATTAAAAAAGAATAAATAAAAATATAAATCCCAAACAGGAGAAAAAATTCTTATAAATAAAATATTAATTGTGAATAGTAGGAAATGATAATCACAACAGAATCTTTCCATATTTGATATAGTTAATATTTAGCCATTGTTAGATTCAGTTATAAAAATCTATTCAACAATTAATTTTAATTATACATTTCATTAAATTCGCAATTTTTCAATCATGCTTTCATCAATTTTTATCAAAATATACTAAAATTTGATTTTTAACCAAATCAAACTGGCCTTATATATTCAAATCCCATGCAATGCTTCTGAACATACTCCCAATCTAAGGAACCGAACATTTATGGGTTGTTCTCTTTGTATTTGAGTTTTGTGTTTTGAGTATTGTGTTTTGAGTGTCCATTTTGAGATTGTAGAAATTTATTTTTTCATTTAAAAAAATGTTTTGAAAACACTTAAAACGTGTTTTGAAAATTTTGACTTGATTATAACCGAAAACACCTAAAACGACAAATTTGTCATTTTTAATTTTCTTTGTAAATTTTTAACTAATTTTCGAAAACCCGTTTTCGAAAATGAAAAAGAGAATGCGTTTTTACTATTTTGAAAAATCGAAAACAGAAAACGACTTGAAAATAGTAAAGATAACATGCCCTTAGTATTTACATAACCTCCTCACAAAAATAAAATAATAACAGTAATAATTAATATTATGTAAATAAATAAACAACTACGTGTGCTGGAAATTGCTATTTTTCAACTTTATGGTTAAGCAGTGGCACATTTGATGTTAAAGTGACATTACTCAAAGTGGAAGGGCAAACGATAGAGTTTGACTTGATTAGAAAATGAAAGGCATGTAATTTGAGTAATTAAGCAACAAACACCCCCTATCAATTATTTCTTTAAATTATAACATTATGATCCAAAATATTGGCGAAATTTTCCAAGGAATTAGGAAATTTTTTTCCATTTTTCATCTTTTACGCTGTTTGACAGCCTAAATTTTCCACGGAACCACCCACCCACCCACCACGTCAGCATTTTCCATGTGTGGGAAAATATTTTACAGCCGACTGCTCAATTTTTTTTTTTTTTTTTACAATGGAAACAAATGCCATAACTAATTGTAAATTTTTTTTTTTCACTTTAACGGACAATTTTCATGTAAAACAAAGTCAAACGAATACTAAATTTTGATTTAAAAAAAGAGTTTTTAGGAAACAATTTATTTATTTATTATTTTTTTTTTTGGTAATGGAAACAAATTTTATAAATAATTGTGGAAAAAAATATACAATTTCTATATAAAACAAAGTCAAACGAACACAAAATTTAAAAAAAATTTGGGTGAAAAATTATACCAATCAAACACACTTAATTAA